GCTTCATTCATAAAAACATAACTTTTTTTACAAAAATTGTTTGCACAAGGAATATATATATATGTATAGTATATAGTACAATTGGAAGTCCATGATTATGATTTTATTATTGAATTCAGAAGTGTCAATTCTGCAATAGAATCTCACGACAAATCCTAAGCAACAAGAAAAGACTACCTTGAGAATACAAAACTATGGCCATTTCATATTCCTACACCACATTTCATATTCCTACATAATGTATCTATTAAAACCTATGCAAATTTGTATCTGAACTATTTAATACAGACCAATATAAACATGAGTTATGTATTTCATTTTGAATACACATGCCTCTATCAATTACATTTAAGTCTGCTAAATACATTTTGTCTTCATTGCATATAGCATTACCTTCCAACTCTACTGCTCTATATAAACCTAAGTATGTAACAGCTCACAAAAACATAAATCTCATTAGCTTCAAGAGAGACATTAAAAACATGTGACAAAAGAGAAGCACAAAGTGCTTATCCTAAGCTTCTTAAGACACAACTTAAGATAGGTATAACGCGTAGAGTGAAGACTGGTCCCAAAAAGCAGCTTTTAAACCAATGCATGCATGAACTCTAGAAACATGATTGTGAGCTGCACACATAACATGCACTGCCTATCATGTTAGGGCGAATGCTGGTGGTCAAAGACAAGTCCAAAAGATAGGTGAAAATTAAAAAGACAGTCGATTCATAATGCAAATATAAGCCCAAATGTTTAAAAAAAAAAGGTGTAATTTAAAAAAACATGAGGCATGCTAAACCATGGCAATTGTGACTTACAGTTTGGCACACTTCCTTGAAAATTGAAGCTGTGTATATAACAACATGGATGGGTTGCATAAAACTGCGCAATATAACAGAATGGTTTTTAACAGCAACAGAGGCAAATTCTTCTGTAACTACCCAGACATACACATGCAAATGTTATGTCTTTCACCCTGATTAAAATCTGTTGAAACCTGACATTAAATTACTTACAAGGTACCACCAATAGGTCCTTCAATGATTTATAAAAGTTTCTGTGATAAACCTCAAACATTCTTATGATGCCTTAAATACGTATACAAAAAAGGTTTTGAAACTAGAATGGCACACAAGCTAAAAAAAAAACCTGGCAAACCTTTATTATTCACTGCACTCTTAAATATTTTGTTCAAGTTTTAGAAATAATTCTGCTTTCACTTTACTGTTATCATTAGAATAAGACTTTGAGTTTCTTGGATAAATGAGAAGCTACCCAGAGAGATAAAATGTCAACTTTTTTTTTCCTAATGTTTCCCATTACTTTATACTTCGTATTATTTACACAGGGGAAAAAGACCCTCAGCACTGCCTGCACTGCATATCTTTCTTTACCTGCTACTCTGACAGACAACGCCACATCACAGTCTTACTTCATCTTGAAGCCAGTTAAAATTTTTGTCCCCACTTCCAGACAAAGGCTGTTCCCAAACATCACGCTGACTGTAACCATCAGAGTGTAAAGGCTACATTTACACACACACGTATTATTTCCACTCAGTCTGTCTCATACACTGCTATTTCTAGTCAAAAGACGCCACTCGGGTAGCAACTCTTTTCTTTATAGATTGCTGACTACAGATGCCCTAGCCAATGTGGATAAACCCAAGATTTCCTTGACAGAGTGAGTTTCTCTGTGTGGGGGAAGGGAGGGAGATTCTACAGGGTTAGATGAGCAGCCCAGGCATGTGCAAGCCAGCCCTCTGAACTTCAAAGAAACTCCTGACATGCCAAAGGACAAGCAGTAATTAATCATCTAAAAATCAGTCATGTACATTTCCATGACTACCAGAATGCTGTAACATATAAAAGTCATCCAAAGCCCATGTCCACCACAAGTCTCCTATGAAATAAATGAAATGTGTGTGGCAGCAGCAGAACCATGAGCAGTTGCTCCTATATCCTGTCAGCTTTGTCCTGCTCTCATCCAGGGGCTGCGAGGCCACAGGGCTGGACCAGTGATGCTCTCCTGAAGGCTCATTCTTCCACGTGTGAGAATGGACAGCTGGAGGCACTCGGTATCTCACAGAACGCATACAGGACTTCAGCAAACTCTGACGGATAAATTCAGTTTTGTGATTCATGCAATTACACAGAATTGTTGTCCAGCTTTAGAGATACAGTAATCACAGCTGCAAAGTGATAAACAGAGGCCTTGTGCTGGGTTTGATGTGCAATAGGTGCTCGGTTTATGTAACAGCTTCCAAATTACACATCAGCCTCAGAAGACTGGGAAAAGACAACCAGGATCAAAATGGTCCCCTTGTGGAAAAATTATGTAATACTTATTGAATTTAATCCTCCAAGGGTATAGCTGCCTGACGAAAAGACAATTCTTCCGTGAAACACATGCAGGATGGAGAGCCATAAAACTAAAAACCAAGCCCCACAAGGCTGAAACTAACCACAAAGCACCGAGTTTAGAGCTTCCATGCTTTGTTCATACCAAAACAAGGGGCAGGAGGGCACCAGGATGCTGTCCACTCCTCCGAATATCACAACAAAATACCGTTTGGTGTAGATGAATATACTGTTTTACAAAAAAACCATGAGAATGAGATCAAGAAATATAACCAAATACATCAAACCATCCCAGGAAATGCATACAAGACATTCAAACTAGGAAAAAAATAAAATGGTCTGCAGAAACCTACACCAGAATTTTCCCATATTCTACATGGCTAACCCAGTATTTTTCTAAGTGTGTCTACATTTAAAGTTAACTGAGATGCCTATTTTCATATGTGCCATAAATACCCTAATAAAAGCTGCATTTTACAAATGCAGGATACCATAAAATACTCAGCTTTTTACTTTTTTCTTGTTAGTTTGGTAGAAAATTTAGTTCTTTCGTCTGATAGTATCAATATCAACACAGCGGTATGAGAATACCCCTGTCCCTTTGGATGCTTTAAGGCTCGTCTACACACAAGAATTGCATTGTTGCAAATAACCTCAAAAAATAAATCAAGGTATTCATTCCTTACATCATTACACATGAATTCATTCTGATACAGAGACACTCTTAGATGGCACTTAAAAGTGCTGTTGTAATTCCCAAATAAGGCGAATATACTGTATAGTACAACTTCTTCACACATTTTGCACTGCCACCCAAGAAGAGTTGTACCACTACACAGCTGCAGTTGTTTCGGGAGAAACAGCACGCACATCTCATATTTCTCACTGAAACAGTCCTACTGGCTAAAAAAAATGGGTCTGGAGCAGGCCACACCATCCCAATCCTAATGAAACACTGTGACCTTTATTTAAAAAACTAACACTCTAATAAAATAAAAACTTTAAAAATCATCAGAAAATAGCAATTGAAGAATAAGCAGACAACAGGCTTGAAAAGGATGCAGTGTTGTTCACTCTTACTGAAAATAAAAGGGAAATATGCTACGATCTCTGAACCTTCCCACTCGAAAAATTAGGACACAATTAGAAGATATTTCTGTAATGAAACAGAATGAACATGCTTATCATCTATTTCAGCTTAAAAACTTACATGCTGCAAAATGTGACAAACAAGCTCCTACTGCCCAAAACACTGAGTGTGCACCTCACTCAGAAACCAAGCTTACAACGGAACAAGGAAAATTATTCACAAGAATAACCTCATTCATTTCAACAGAATCCTCACGTGAATAAAGTTACTCATGCACACATACAGATAAGGAAGAGGCTATCAGAGCCCCCCAATCCCCTATGCATGCTACTACAGCACCAGATGTGACTTGCTACATCCCTCTCTAGCTGGTGGAAAGGGAGTGGGTAGGCGCTTGGCTCTCTCTCCCCTCTTAAAGCACCTGCTAATGCAGCTGAGCTGACATGCAAGGGGGGAAATGTACTCCAGGAAAAGAAAAAGTGCAGTTTATTGAGTTCACGGAATCAGGAAAAAAAGCAGGGATTTGAAGCATGATTTCAAGTCATAACTGAGTGCTGCCGTGCTCCTCCACTCCTGGTAAGCTCTTAGGCTCAGCTGCAAGGTACTAGCAGAGCTCAATGCGAAACACCTCACTTCTAACAGTCCCGAAGAAACTTGGACTTTGAAAGTATTTCCTCCTGTTCGCACTGAAAGAATACTCTGTTTAACCCATTTTTTTCTTAGAAGATCCATTTAACTATTGAACATTCTGGATTTTCCTTTTTTAAACACAATCTCCGATGCAATTCACTTATCGTATAGACGCAGGTTGTTCAATTCAATCTGTTGATTAAATATGCTTAATGACATTAGGTAGTTCTCAGAAAATATCATAGAGAGTGTTACATTTATAAAGGCATACAGCCAGCTGGCACAGAGTATGGAAGGAAAAAATCTTACACTTTAAATGTAATTTTAAAGGGAACTGTAACTTCTTGGGCATTTATTTCCACTGCTTTCTGTATGAATATTCCAATCCAGCATCCATGCAGCTTACTGAGAAAGCAATGCTAATTTGCAATCACATTTACCTGCCTCCCTATGAAAACACAGTTTTCCACGCATCACCTGGACAAACTTATTTTACTGTAACTTTGACAGAGATGCACTTCCTTCCCGCAGCCCGTGGAACAAGTGTTTACACCGGCTGTTCAGGGAAGGGCAGGCGTATGCAGACACTGGGATCTGACTGATGCTGATGCAGCAGCGTAACCCCCCGGGTGAGCTCTGATCCCCCTGGGGCAGAGCGGCCCCGCGGCGCAGACAGACCGGGACGGCGGCGTGGAGAGGCACGGAGCTCAGCACGGTGCCTCGGGGCCGGCGGGCGGAGCCCGGCCGGCGCGGGGCCTGCGGGGCCGTCCCGGGTGCAGCACGCTGGAGAGCGCCGGGCCGAGCCCGCGGCAGCCCCGGCCGCGGCCCCGCCGCCCGGTCCGGCGCCCGCCGAAGTTTGAACCGGGCGAGGTGCGAGGCGCCGGGGCCACCCCTTTCCCGCCCGCCGTGAGCCCCGCGCTAACCTGAAGTCGCTGTAGGGGTGGATGATCCAGAACCCCGCAGTTTTAACCCTTTCCTGCTCCTTCTCCACCGCCTTCTGGCTGCCGAACATGCGGAGGGAGAATTTGTTGACCCCCGGCTGCAGCATGGAGGTGAACTGCCGCTGCATGAAGCCGTACTGCCGACGGGGTCCCTCGGCATCCTCGAAGCCCACCACGGGCTCCTCGCCCCCGCCGCCGTCCACTTTGAAGCACACCGAGTTGCCATGCTCCTTCACGCCGCCGCTGCCGGGGCTGCTCTGGGCTTTCTCCGCCGAAGCCGCCGGCTTGGCTGGGAACGAGTTAGCGCTGCCATCGTCCCGGCTGCCGGCGGAGGAGCTGCGCTTCCCAGCCTCCATGCTGCGGGGCGGGCGCACCCCAGCCGCGGGAGAGCGCGGGGAAGCCTCACCACCGCCGGTGCCCTTCAGCGGCGCGGCTGGGCTGTGCCGCCCTGGGCTGGGCTGGGCTGGGCTGGGCTGGGCTGGGCAGGGCTGGGCAGGGCTGGGCTGGGCTGAGCTCCGCGCCGCCGCGCCGCCCGGCATCAGCAGCGCCGCCGGCTCGGAGCGCGCTCCGCGCAGGGCGGGCAGCGCCGCCCCTCGGCCGCCCCCTGCCGGCGGCCCCGCTCCCCTGACATTGAGCCCAGAGTCCTTGAGGGAGCGCCGGAGGGAGGGGCCGGGGGCGAGCGCAGACAGGGACAGGGGACGGGGGACAGGGGACAGGGGACAAGGCCTATCCCCAGCGCCAGCACCGCGCCTCCTCAGGCTCACAGGAACACGCGTGGGTAGATGTTCCACCCTGGGCAAAGCAAGGGACAAGGCGTGGGGTGGTAGCGTGCCCGCACAGCCCGAGCGAGAAACAGGGGCTGGAGTGATGCAGTGGGGCGCTTTCACGGGCTCGCCGGTCCCTTGGGAAGCCTCTGTTGCTCCTCGTGGAGCAGGCGGACTTGGAGAGAGCAGGAGGCGGCGGTCTGCCTGGCCATGGGGCCGAGGGGCGGCACTGGAAGTCGCGGAGGCGTTTTGAGTTCATCCTGCTCAGAGTGCAGCGTGTGTCCGGCACAGGGGAACATGGGTGGAGTGTGAGTGAGCAGGGAAGGCGAGCTGCTGGGTGACATTGGTTTTCACAGACGAAACACATCAGTCCGGTTAGACAGTCCCGCCAAGCGGCTCTCCCTTGTCCCTTAGCCCCGAGCGGGCTGGAAACGGGGCCGAGCTGATGAGCGCGGGATGGGGGATGCTGCGGGCACGGCTGGGCCACCCAGGGGTGCCGTTCCCGCCGGGAGGGCTGTGCTGCCACCGGCACCTGCCTTTTCTCCCAGACAGGTGTAAGATGGCAGGTGCTCCCGAGTGCTTAGACAACCTTTATACGTATGCCAAGAGGCGATTTGGCCTTTGTTTGCACGTCAGTAGGAAACTGGAAATTCAGTTTGCTCCACTTGATATTTAAGTACATAAATTACAATTTAGAAGCTTCTAAAAAGCTGAAAAAGCTGCCAGACGGAAAGGAAACAGTGGGTATTTCTAGCTCCCAGTACTCCGCGTAGACTCGAAGGGAATGGAGTATATACTGCCTTCAGTATCTCTACACTCAGTAGAGTGTACACTCAGTCCTAGTGATTGCAGGTTGTAACTGGGGAGCTGTGGGATGAGGTAGGAGCTATGAAAGCAAATGATAAGCTGTTTACAAACCATGACCGAGAAGGGCCTTGGTCTCTGTTCTGAAGAATGAAAGATGCTGATACTTGCCCCAAAAGCTGTGAGTGTCTTTGGGTTACAGAGTGATGGAGAATCAATATCTGCAGATATTATTACAGGAGCTCTAGCATTATGTCTGCCTGCAAAAACATATATTACAGCATATACATGTAGGTCCTGGCTTTCTATTTAGAATAGGTTTGACATTGGTTTGTTTTTCACACATTCTTGACACATTTTTCATTCTGCATATTAAAAGTAGAGTAGGAAAAAATTAGTAAAACCTCATAAGCTTGACTCTGGTATTTTCAATGGCATTTTCCACTTCATTTTTACCCACTTTGTCCTTTACACAACTGATGCTTAAAGCTAGGAGAGAAATAGATGTGCAAATCTGCACAGCACCGTTTGCACGCTGTCAATCTGGTGCATTGAGGGGCTGTATTTCAAGGGGGGATCTGAGCAAATCCTCAGCAATCACAGTTGTAACAGAATGTTAATGCCTAGTGCACTCAAACACACCAGGTTCCGTTGATTTTAGTGTCTTTAGTGTGGAAGATGTTAACATCATGCGAGTATGAAAGAAGATGGCAAGTACAGATGCACCAGGATGGATTGCTGAAGGCTGGGCTGTGACCAGCATAGGAAGGAATATGCTCACAGAATGATTGGTGGGGGCTGACACACATAAACCTTCCCCATCTGGAGTGATACTTTTCTGTAGGATTTTATCCTAAACCAGTGAAGAGTGTGTGCACAGCTGCTAATGGCTCATGCACAGCTGCTGATAGACAAAAATCCCTTAGTGTTTTATCCCCAAATGATGTCCGCCTCCTTCCCTCATCCAACGTCTGTCACCAAACGATAATTAAAAACTCAGAAATTATTACTGTTTTGCAGCTTTCTAAAAGAATTAACTCACATCATATTTGACAGAAACCCGCAAAGGCAAGGGGTGAAAAGGACTCCCACAGTGCTTTTCCACACAGCGTACCATATCGCGGGCAGTGGAACTGGCAACTTCTGTGTCAGTCCAATAAAAGTTGCAACCTTAGAATTTTTGCTACTTCTTCTTCTTCTTCACAACTTATTCCACAGGACTTTTGCATTCAGTCCTTGACCTGAATGGTCTCTCTCAACATAACCTAGGAGAGCAGCAGCCAGTCATGTACAGGACAAAAATAGACTTGTAGTGGAGTAAATCAGAACAGTGAAATGGAGACATTTACAGCTGCAGTAAGCAGATTCGGATGTAGGTTTTTTTTAACTGGAGAAGAAATGAGCACTGGTCATTTATTTATGGATGAGGAAAATTGTGCACACCAAGAACATTCAATTTCTTCTTTCACGAAACTTGCTTTCACTCGTGTTTAATGTCTCATTTGCCAGTATCTATCCTTACTTAGCATGGACTGCAGACCTACCCTGCCTACCTTCCCTTCTTTCTACAACAGAAGAATCTGGAAATGTTCTCTTTCCCTTGGTGGTATTATATAGATATGACAGGGATTTATTATATCAAAATGCCATATAACTTAGAAGTTCTTAATGGAAGAAAATATCTTGCATTACTTGTAACATATGACTTTTTGGATGCTTTTAAACACAGCATGTGTATAAACCACATAGGTACATATCTCTTGGTAAAATTGAGATTTTGATATTTTCTGCTTCCTGTGATCAAATATTAGATTTTTGTAAATTTGTAAATTTTTTTGTCATTTTTTTCTGTGTAGAAGAAATGTATACTTATTTGTACGTCTGAGTGGTATTTTTCCTAAGTTTTTGTGTGCCCTAATGGACCTTAACAACTCAACATCTTGCAAATTTTAATAACAATCCTGAGATGTTAGAATGAGAAAGCTTTTTCATAATCTATAGTTTTTCTTTGGGAGAATGAATTCTTCCAAATAACTTAATATTGTTTTCAGACAGGAAACAGAACTCTCCTGAGGCCCACCATACTAGCTTAGATGAGAGAATTTTGGTTCACTTAAGAAGAAATAATAGAGCATGGTGTGTGTGAATAGTCCTGAAAACTGCACCAGGGCTGAAAATGGTTGAAAGGTTATGGACTCACTTTAGCTAAAGGTATAGCTTGTTCTCGCTCAAGTTTTATTTTGATTATGTGGCCATGTTAGGAGAAACACACAGAAAAATGAAATTTATATATGAAATTTCCAAGAGATCAGTGCTAGCAGAACAAAAGGAGCAAAAATTTATTTTGCATCTCTTTGCTACGTCCTAGATTAATCGATTCCTACTAAAAATTTAATAGGCTGTTTTACTTGTCTGTATTAAATTACTTTTATTACTTACTCAACTTCATGAAAGTACTGTGACATCATTAGTTTCAGTGTTTTATATGACTCTAATACTAATGTATACTAATATTAATATAAAGAAAATTAATTTTCTTCTCTTCTGACATAGTAAATTTTTATACTTGTAGTAAGTACATTCCTCCTTCTCTTTATTTTTTCATTTTGATATAACTTGAACCTATGCAGAACAATTCAGCTGTAGAAATAAGAAAAATAGCAGCATGTGTATAGAGGCATATGTATTTGTTCAGTGAAGAAACTGGGGCGCAGACAAGTAACAAGACTTCTATGAGATGACCCAGTAAGATGCACCTGACTGCAGAACAAAGCTGTTGTCTCTCAAGTTAAAGTTTCATGCCTTGTGAGATATTTTTAAGATTATTTCTCAACAGAAGGTCACCATCAAGTCAAATGGCAAACCAGGGTTAGCAAGGAAGGAAAATAATAGTTATATTTTCAATTACATAACTATGTCTGCCAGCTTAATTGAGGATTGGTCCAGATTCGTAATATGTGCTGTCTTCCATGTTTTCCATTGAAGTTTGCAATAAAATAATTTTTATTTGATCCCACCTTACTTATGTTACTTTCCTTGCATATTTACTCACACATACTTACTGGCAACAAAAGTTTTCAAATAGATTTTATATTAATATTAGCTAGTGTTTATAAAGCAGGAAGTATCTTACTTTAGGAACCATTAGCGTCTTTTGAAGAAAACATATCACAACGCAATCAGAACTTCAAGCATGAGTGTTACATGGCAGCTGTCCATATAGTTA